CCTTTTCCTCCTCTGACCGGTCCGAGCCGCTGCCAGCGCTTCCTCCCTCGAAGGCCGGCGCGGAGAGCCCCCTGCCGGCCGCTCTGCTCCCGGGCCGTTTCCCCGGCCCGGCGGAGCGCTCCTGCCGCCCGCCTCAACCTCCCCACACCGACCCTGAGGCCCGCCAGGCCCTGCTTTCGGGGCTTTGTTAACAAAACCTACGAGGTAATAAATGTTAAGCGCCAAGCACAGTATCCAGCAGCATGCTTTTTGATATGTTAATTCTGTGTTTTCCACTCCCGCTTCCGTTGCCTGCTTACCACCTCTGAAAATCCAAGTTCCTTTAGGGGGGTTGGAGGAAGGATGGTACAGAAAGGCTTCGAGGCCGAGGGAGAGCTTTCCCAAGATTGGAGAGGGGTCAGAGGTCGGTGGAATCCCCTCTGGTGGAGATCTGCTGCCCCGTTCTCTCTCTAGAGGCGCCAGGACGTGGGTGAGTATCCGCGTGCCTCAGCTGAGACCAATCTGGAGCAACCATAGTCCTCTGCCAAGATTTCCACCCTCAGGATGGCCAGGACTCCAGGGGCTACGGAAGAGAGAGTGATGGGTAAACCCAAATAATCACTGAGATTGGGTTCCCCTGCCTCTCTTCAGATGAAGTCTTGGAGTCAGATTTAATTTAAATAATGAGATATACCTGCTTGTGGTCCGGCACAGATGTTGGCTTATGCTGTCTTCTCTTTCACGGCGTCACCAATCCAAATCATGCCTTAAAACCTCACTGAGGTGGGGGCTGAGTGGTTTATCTGCTCCATTTGCCAACTCCCCCCACGTCCCCATATGAAAATCCCAAGGCAGGATAGACAGATGTGCAGGAGCAGGTGCTCCCAGGAGAGAGCCGCTCCTGGAGGGATGGAGGGCAGACGGCGGCCAGGCACCGGCAGAGGTGCCCAGTGCTGGGGCAGAGCTGGCCGCTGGCCCCATGCCTCTATAATCCCCATTTTGTGGGAGCCCAGGATTAGAAGGGAAGTAAAAGGAAGATGCCCTGACATTGCTGGTGATGCTGCCAGTGCTGGAGGGGGTCTGGGGTTCGCGCTCTGCTTTCTCTTCACCTTTTATTGCTCTCTCTAAATCTGACAGACCTTTTGGATCGCTGAGACTTGAGGAGCCTGGAGGAGCCGGTGTCCTGGGGGGATGAAAGGGCAGGGATGTAATGGGTTTACCCCAGCGCTGATCCCAGAGAAGCCCGCAGAAGATTAAGATTTGCTCCCTGAGCTTGAAATTTCCCTGCTACCCTCTGACCACATCAAAGGACATGGCCGTGGGGGGCACCTAATCCCATCAATGGAATCAAAGCTGGACAAGAATGGAAATTCTGCAAACTTGGTGCAGCATCAGGACACAGCTCACAAGAGAAAAGACAGATACACCAGGGCCCTGGCCTCCTGCACTGGGGGTTACATCCCAGAAAAGGTCCCAAGCCAGTCCACAAGCAGCTGGGGCCTGTCCTTTGCTTCTTGGGGTGACCACTGTGGGAACATCAACCACACGAATTCACAAAACTGGGCAGTGGGAAGCCTGCCTCCACAGGCAGAACAGGACCCTGAGAGAGCTGGGACTCTCATCTCACAGTTCTGCTGGCTCCCAGCTTTCAGAAAATGCTTTCACAAAGATGCTCCTTACCACCCGTGTTCCCAAAGTGTGGGGCTCATATGTGAGACGGTTTTAGGTTAAAAATATGTAATATTGGGAGGAGGGTATATTTCAGTGGTAGAGCACATGGTTAGCATGCTCGAGGTCCTGGGTTCAATCCCCAGTACCTCCATTAAAAAACAAACAAAATTACCTCCCCACCAAAAAAAAAAAAAAACCCCAAAATTTTATAATGAAAGTATTTTTCTAAATAGTGTGAAAATATGTAATATACATTTTTAAATATAAATTTCATGAACATTGTTATGATGAAGTTAAAATGAACTAAATCAAAGGCTAGTATTTAGTAAATAATAGCACAAATGGTGTTCTGATACAGCAAAAATGGTGACAGTGGCCTGTGAATTACTAATTAGGAAAACGCTCCTTACGACCACCTTTAGAGAAATACTGCCTTAGAACGGTGTCAAACTTTCAGTCATGCCCCGTGGTAGGAAATATATCTATATATGTATATAAAATGTTTGAGGAAAAAAATTCTTGTACGTTCAAATATATTGAATGTTAATCCTATTCTGTTCCATGAAAAAAAAGAATGCTGCTTGCAAGCTGTTAAATTTATTTCATGATTCACTCATGGGTTACCTCCTGCAATTTGAAAAATCCTGCCTTACAGAGCATGCCATGATGACAATGATGATAAAAGTGGTAGCTCTCACTGAGAAATTTCGCGGTGCCAAGACCCTGTGCTAAGACCTTCTTATCCTCTCACAGTGACCCTAGGTCATTGGTATAATTACTGCCCACGTTTTATAGGTGAAATTACTTGTCGGTCTCACTCGGCCAGTAAGTGCAAGTTGAGAACAGCCGCTCTCCACCCTGGTCTAGTACAATTCCTACCAGTCCACTCCGAGCAAATATCAGAAAGGCCCAGTCTCCCGGGTGATCCTCCCATGCCTGCCCTTCCCACAATGTAGTCCACCTCTCCATGTCTGCCCTGTGGTTTCTGCCCTTTTCCCCCGACCCACCAGTGACCTGCAGGAGTCAGGCTCCTTAGCAAGCTGACCTCAGAGCCCCAGAGGTGGGGGTGTGGATGAGGTGTGACAAGGACAATCTTATGTCCCGGCCTCCCTGCCCCACATATCCATCCCCATTGCTGGGAGGGGTCAATCTGCCTTGGGGACAAAATCCCATAGAGTTGGAGACACTGACCTTGTTCTCTGGTTCCCCTCATTCTAGATTCTTCTCTAGGCCTTCCCAGGCAACCCTATTTTAAACTGCAGCCCACTTCCCCATCTCTTCTTATCGGCAACCCAGTTTTTTCCCTTCCATAGTCCTCATCCCCTCAGATATGCCACAGCTTTTACTCATTTGAGTATGTTGTTTCCCAGCTCCTGATCTTTGCCTCCAGCTCCCCGAATGTAAGCTCCACAGGGGTAGGAATTTTGTCTCTTTCATAAAACATTACTGCATCCCAGTGCACATAGTGCACTCTTAGTAACTGTGCGCTGAATGCCTTTCAGTCCTGCATACACTGCCCTGAGAGCCAGGTTTTACCATTAGTGCATGGGCTTGACTGCCCCAAACCCTCCCCAGGAACCCCTAGGGCTGAGCCACCCACACAGAGGCTCTCCCTTCAACACCCTTGGATTTCACCCTCAAAGGCTCCTGCATTCACTGTGGCCGCCAATGCTCAGACCATGCAAGGTATTTAATATCAACACCACCTTACAGTATTGATTCTCTGCTGATAATGAACACGTGCCATCAATCTAGCAAGGCATAAAGTGCTGTGGAATTCTCTAACGAGAACACCTGATTTTACAGATACAGACACTGGGCTGGGGGCAATGAAATGATTTACCTGAGGTCGCTCCAAATGTACCAAACTCTTTCCATTCAACTTCCTCCTCTGGACCATCCCACCCATTGGATGCCACTTCCACCGTCACGATTGTGCTGCGTTTTCAGTTTCCTGCCATCAGTCAGAAAGAACTTGGACAGAAGACACAGGGATTCTGGTGAACATAGACAAGAGGGGCAGATAACGTAAAGTACTTTGTATGTAACCATGGAATTCACGGGGCTGATTTTCTCAGCAGATTTTGCTCAGGTGGCAATTTTGTTTCTCTTGGCTCAGATGGCTTAGACTGAGGGAGAGCCCCAGAGCTCAGGCTTGGGGGTAAAATCTTTACAGCAAAAAGAGATCAAGACCATTTATTTCAGTTCCTCACTCCTGTGCAAACTCTCATCAGTTCTCTAGGATGAGTTCTCTGCAATTTCTCCCAGCTTCTCTTCTCTTATTTATTTATTCTCCTTTTTTAGGGAGGGAGGGAGTTGGGTTTATTTACTTACGCATTTATTTTAATGGAGGCAGTAGGGATTGAACCCAGGATGTCATGCATGCTAGGCACACATCTTCCCACTGAGCTATACCCACTCCCCCACCCAGTTTCTCTTCTCTTGAGGAGACA